TTTGGCATTTGCTTCTTCTCGGCCTTCCGACGGCTCAAGACGGCCCAAGAGGTCCCCAAGATCGCCCCACGATCGCCTACGAGGCCTCCAAGATGGCCCCATGACGGCCCAAGAGGTCCCCAAGACGGCCCCAAGAGGCCACCAGGATGGGCCAAGAGGCCTCCAAGACGCCGAAGATGGCCTCTAAGACGGCCCTGGAGCACTCCAAGAAGGCCCCAAGTCGGCCCAGAGAGGCCCCCCAAACGGCTTCCGACGGCGTCAGACGGGCCAGGAGCCCACCAAGATGGCCGAAGTTGGCTCGAAGCCTCGAAGCTGGCGCAAGACGGCCCAAGAGGCCTCCAAGAGGGCCTCCAGGAAGGCCCGAAAAGACCAAAATCATTGTTGTTTTCTTATGGTTTTTGAAGGATTGTGGCATTTGCTTTTTGTTCGGCCTTCCGACGGCCGGAGACGGCCGAGGAGCCCCAAAAAATCGCCCCAAGATCGCCCAAGAGGCCTCCAAGATGGCCCCATGACGGCCCAAGAGGCCCCCAAGACGGCCCAAAGAGACCAAGACGGCCCAGGAGGCCTTTAAGACGCCCAAGATGGCCTCCGAGGCGGCCCCTCAGCATTCCAAGAAGGCCCCAAGTCAACCCAGAGAGTCCCCCCAAACGGCTTCCGACGGCGTCAGACGGGCCAGGAGCCCACCAAGACGGCCGAAGATGGCCCAAGACGGCCCAAGAGGCCTCCAAGAGGGCTCCAGGAAGGCCCACCAAAGGCCAAAAGCATTGATTTCCCATCTGTTTTTTTTGGGGGGGGATTTTGGCATTTGCTTGTTTCGGCCTTCCGACGGCCCGAGACAGCCCTAGAGCCCCCAAAGATCGCCCAAGAGGCCTCCAGTATGGCCCCAGAACGGCCCAAGAAGCCCCCAAGACGGCCCCTAGAGGCCACCAAGACGGCCCAGGAGGCCGTTAAGACGCCCAAGATGGCCTCCGAGGCGGCCCTTCAGCATTCCAAGAGAGCCCCAAGTCGGCCCAGCCTCCCCCACCGTGTTCCCCGAGCGCTTTCCAAACAGATTCGGGGAACACGTGGTCCGATTGCTTGGCAGGCCTCTGGCCACAACGTTCGGCCACATAGGCGCTTCCAAAAAGGCAGGGGGCGGCGGTGATTCGCCGTAGGCGTCTTCGGTATGGAAGCCTGCACGAGTGATCGAAGCTCCTGAAGCTTGTGAGAGCTCCCAGAAGCCCTCACGGCGCTCCAGAAGGCCCCCTCGATGGAGATCTCCGGGAGTCTCCCGCAGCATCTGGGCCTCCTCCTGCCCCTCCGGCTCCCCTCCTCGACCACTGGCAGGGGAGGAATGGGGGCGCGGCCGTCGGCTCCTGGCTGTGCGGACGGGGCAGGAGCACGAGCCCCGGGCACTGGGCCGCGCGCCGTCTATCAGCCAGAGGTAGTCGTACTTGGCCGCCATGGCCGGAGTGATCTGATACCACGCCTCTGCCTTACAGATCCGCTCCTTGGAGGAGAACACGACAGGCCCAGACTTGGAAACACTCGTCCAGTCGTACTCCTCGAACAGGCTGTCGCTGCCCTCGGAGAGACAGAAAGGGCCCTTGCTACCGGGCCAGTTCGCCAGCCCTTGACCCTTCGCTGCTCCTGGTGCGTCATGCTGTTCACTCTCTCTCCATCCCCGCCCCCTGAGTCTGCGGTTCAAAGATGGGGCAATGAGGGATGGGGGCCTCAGGATAAGACATACATGAAGTTCAAGTTGAACCTGCAATATTTGACGTTTTCGTCCTTGGGCCCAGCCCTGAGGGTCCCATATTTGAACAACCGATTCACCCCCTCAGGCCTCGACTCACTGACGCGCGGCATCCGCACTCTGCAAACCCTGACGGGCCAGGTGGGGGCGAGACTGTTCTGTTCTGGGAGAGCGGTAAACAACCGCATGAGATCTGTTCCTGAAGCCCTCTTCATCTCAAAGAAGCGTCAATTCCGAATCGGGATTCATCCATAGTATAGTCGCCCTGGCGCGGCTGACCGACCAGCGAAGATATGTATACACTGCTCGGTCACGTTGGTGCTGTGTGGATGTCCTGCGTATATGCCATCGCCCGTGCCTTATCGCTTCTACAGGTGGTCGCGTTCCTGTTGCGCTCGCAGCCAAGCCTGACCCGACCCGTCGTGATAGAGGACCCATCGCAGAGCAAGTAGACGGGCGGGGGAACTGAGAATCCACAGATCCAGCCCCCCTGGATGGGGTGAGGGGGAGGAAGGCACCCGAAGGCGCTTCGAAGTGCACCCGCAGCCGAAGCAGAAGCCGAAGCTGAAGCGCACAGAAGAAATGGCCTGACCCTGCAGGCTCGATTCACAGCACGCCATCGATGAGTGTTGCAGCCGCCCCTGATCACAGGCCCCTCCCCACAACAGCAATCGGACACATCGGGTTTGCACCATCGTGATTTGCTGGACTCGTAGGCGAGTCAGAGGTGTGCGACGTGCGGGCGGCAGGGGCCACAGCTGGATGCGTGGAGCGGGTCCCCGACGGAGGGGCCAAGGAACGGGAGGGGAAGGAGGAGCAACAGAAGAGACGGATGGAATAGGAAGAGGAGGAGGAGCAAGAGGAGAAGGGCGACGACGAGGAGGAGGAGGAGGAAGAAGAGGAGGCAAAGGAGCCTAACACTGTTCTTCAGCGGGGGGGGGGCAGGAAGATTCTGACCCTTGATGTCCCTCCCCTCTCGCTCGCCGCGTAATCACTCAGGAGGTTGCTACAACCAACAGCCATACGTTCGACCGACCGACCGACCGAGGAGGAGGAGGAGGAGGAGGAGGAGGAGGAGGAGGAGGAGGAGGAAAAGGAGAAGGAGGAGGAGCCAGCAGCAGCAGCAGCAGCAGCAGCAGCAGCAGAAGGACCACGACGACGGAGGCGGCGACGAGAAGAAGGAGAAGGAGAAGGAGAAGGAGAAGGAGGAAGAGGATGAGGAGGGGGCGGTGGGAGGCGGACAGTGGGGAAAACGCTCCGAGGAGCTTCTGAGTTTACACTCGAGGGCGGCCAGAGTGTGCCAGAGTCTCCCAAAGATGACTGCCCAAAGGAGCCAGAATGGCACATTAGCAAAATATTGCAATTCCTCCTGGGCACAGGTGGTTGTTTGCCGTCTTGTCTTCCTTTTTCTGAGGCCTCAAGATGACTCCGCGATCGCCCAAGAGAGCTCCAAGAGGGGCTCTGAAAGGGCTCCGAGACGGCCCTAAGACCGCCCAACAACGCCCCGATGGCGTGCTAAGCAGGTCCCACTGGGCGATGTTGTGCGCAACCCCTGATAGATCTCACTCGTTTGTCTATCGATGGCCTCCGAGAGGAGCTCAAGAGGGCTTGGGCAGCGTTTCCTTGTCATGGTTTTTGGTAGACTCCTGTCGCCGTCGAATCCTCCTCAATTTCCTCATACCCGTCGTTCGGGGGAAGTGGGTGAACACATGAATTAGAAAGAAGTTGAAAATAGGTGTTGGGTTTCTGGTCGCGCCCTCAAAAAGAAGGGAAGGAAAACTGGCTCGATTCTTGAGCTACGGAGGCGCCCAAGGTATATTGGACAGGGGCCCAGAACTATCTACTTCCAATAAACAGTGGGTACTCCCACCTCCCTGGAGAAAGGCCGCGAAGAAATACACTGTTCCCTCCTACATCTGCTCAGTTCGATCCCCCTCCCACTGCCCCCTACTCCTTTCTCCTCCTCCTCCTCCTCCTTTTCTGGCGGATCGGGGGCCCGAAGCACTATACATTAGCGCCGGCGCAACCCTCCAGTGCGCGGCATCGCGCACTGGAGGGATCCTCCAAGACGCCCGAGATGGCCTCCAAGACGGCCCTGGAGCGCCCCAAGAGGGCCCCCAGTTGGCCCAGAGAGGCCCCAAGACGGCTTCCGACGGCGTCAGACGGGCCAGGAGCCCACCAAGACAGCTCAAGATGGCTCTAGCCCCAGACGGCCCAAGAGGCCCCCAAGAGGTCTCCAAGACGGCCCAAGAGGCCTCCCAGAGGGCCTCCAGGAAGGCCCGAAGAGGCCAACTTCATGGATGTCCCCTGGGTTTTTGTCGGATTTTGGCATATGCCTCTTTTCGGCCTTCCAACGGCCGGAGATGTCCTTAGAGCCACGAAAGATCACCCGAAAGGCCTCCAGGATTGCCCCAGAACGGCCCGAGAGGCCCCCAAGACGGCCCCAAGAGGGCCCTAAGGCGGCCCGAAAGGCCTCCAAGACGCCCAAGATGGCCTCCAAGACGATCCTGGAGCACCCCAAGATGGTTCCAAGTCGGCCCAGGGAGGCCCTCAAGACGGCTTCCGACGGCGTCAGACGGGCCAGGAATGCCCTGAGACGGCCGAAGAGGCACCCGAGAAGACCCCAAAGGCCCCCAAGGGGCACAAGGAGGCCCCCAAAATGCCTCTAAGAGGCTCCCAGGAAGCTCCCAGGAGGCCCCAAGAGTGCCCCCAGAGGCTCCCGAGATGTCCCCACCTCCTCCTCCTCCTCCTCCTCCTCCTCCTCCTCCTCCTCCTCCTCCTCCTCCTCCTCCTCCTCCTCCTCCTCCTCCCCCTCCTCCTCCTCTCCTCTCCTCCTCCTTCTCCTCCTCCTCCTCATCCTCCTCCTCTTCCTGCTCCTCCAGGAGGAGGAGGAGGACTCCTCCTCCTGATCTGCCCCGCCATCCCCCCCCCCAAGTGTTTCCCGAAGGGTTTCCACAACGGTTGGGGGAGCACATGGTCTGACAGCTTGGCAGAGCTCTTGCCACAACGCTCGGCCACATGGGCAATTTCAAAAGGAAGGGGGCGGCGGTGATTCGCCGTAGACGTCTTCGATATGGTTCACTCCTGGATATGCTAAAGTTGAATTCGAGCTTCGGCTTGATGCCTACCTCACTACTTGATCAACTGCAGGGCTCTACACTCCCCTAATGCCGGCAACTCGCCGGGCGATCGTTTCTGGATGGGCTGGTGGGGATACGCAACGCGTCGAAAATTCAGTGGGTGAACGATACATGGTGGAATGAGGTTGCATCATGGTACGATACTTGCTGTCTGTGCCAATCAGGGTTTGCTGCGGATGCATGGATCTGCGAATGCGTAGACTGACAAAAAAACAGGCTTGTCGCACTACTTGCAAGCCAGGCGCTCGGTCAGACTGGGATGCGTTCAGATGTGCGATCCTGGTAGCCGCCTGTAAATTCAATGCCGCTTACATGCACACTCGCGCCAGCCTGAAGCTTCCTCACCTCCCCCTGGGCACAAGGAACCGCTGGACGCCTGGTAGAAAAATAAAGCAAAATGGAACACGTCGCCGAAGGAATTGTTCGTCAACTTGTCGTAGTTGCGGATGAAATTTTCCTCCGCTCGGGAACATATGCCCCCCGCCCAGCCGCCCGGCAGCCTGGACCGGAAGCAGACACGGGCGACAGGCCCTGGGCCGGCAGCCGCTCTGGACGTCGTGAACACCACTTCGGCCTGAGGGAAGCGGGCCCTGGGGGACAGCGGGTCCTGCACTTGTGTCGGGCGTGTCCCCCTACAGGGGGATCCTCGACGAAAAACAAAAAATACCCCAGAAATAAACCAAACATGTCAAACAAATACTCCAAAAATAATCCCCGGACTATGTTTGAACTATTTTTTGAATATGTTTGGGGGCATTTTTTTATTTTTCCTCGACAATCCCCCTGTGGGGGGACAGGCCCGACTTCATCCTGGACCCCGGGACCCCCAGACCAGGTCTTCGTCCTGGACCGCTTCCCGACGCTCCAGGGGCCCGCGGAGGACCCGGAGGGCCCGCCGACGGCGGAAAGGGCGGCCCCGCTGCCCGAAGGACCAGCTCCCAGACCTGCGAAGGGCCCTTTCCCAGGGCCGCTTTGACGTCCCGAGTTGTCTTTTGACGGCCCCAACCCAACCCGAAGACCCCAATTTCGGGTTGGGGGGGGTACGGGCTCCATCTGTGTTTTTTCAATATTCCCCGACCCCCCCCCCACTGGAAATGGAGCCACTGGAAATGGAGGGCAGATTGAGGCCTTCGGGTTGGGTTGGGGTGGTTTGGTGGGTGGCGACGAGTTGTCTTCTGACGGCCCCTTGGGGCCCCGCGAGGGCCCCGCGAGGGCCCAAAGCGGCCACAAGTCCAGCGGGGGCCCTCGGGGGCCGAGAGCGGCCAAACAAACACCTCCCGCCGTGAGCTGTTTTCGCGACGCGGGCCTCTCTGGGGCCTGCTTCACCAGAGGCCTCCCGAAAGGCATCCGAGCAGAAGGGGTCGGAGGATCGTGCCGCATCGCGGATGCGTCGCCGACGCATCGCCGATGCATCGGCGACGTCGGCGATGCGTCGGCGACGTGGGCTTGTAAGAAATCGCTACCCGCATCGAGCCGCATCGCCGATGCATTGGCGATGCGGCTACCGAGCCTCCGACCCCATCCACTCGCACGCCCCGCGCCCGCGCGGTCGCGGCCCAGGGGCCGCGGCCTGCGAGGCCGGGGATACGGGTATGCCTGTCGCCCACGAACTCGGACCCCATCTGGGAGGCCTGGGTTCGCGGCGATCCACGGGGAGCTCGAACATCTGGGCTCGGTAAGAGCCGCCTCGTCGGGCGCCTCGTCGGCGGGCCCCCAAAAAGCCTGGGCGGGAACCCCACCCGAGGGCCCACGACCTCTCCGCTCGCTGGGGACCGCGCCCGCAGCTGGCAGCCACGGCCCCAAACATGCTCGCGGGGCTGCACCAGGAAAACGGACACGCATCCGGCTGCAAGCGCATCGGGAACATCCGGAGGGCCACCTGTCGGATGCAGATCCAGAATAGGCAGGCGTGTTCCACTACTGGCTAAGCAACGACTCGCAAATAGCCTGGATCGGGGGATTTGCGATCAATTACATCGAGGCCGAACGTTTGTTTTTGGAGCCGTTTGCGATAAGGCACTTTGCGAGTAGTGGAGCGTGCTCGGTGACAGAAGGCCAATCGCCGGAATCGCATCCGAAGGCCGGGGTCGGTTACACCTCCAGCCCGACATCCCAAGGCCAGCGGTGGAAGAAAAAACTGGGAACGTCGAGGCCGCGGGAACCGCGGGCGGAGCCGGCGGCGGAGCAAGTCAGGAACCTCGGGGCCGCGAGCGACCGTGGACAGAGTCGGGGGCCCTTATTGCGAGGCAATCCCCCCAATCCAGAGCCAAAGCTGTGTGACCCGGCCCCAGAAGGAGGCGGGGGGCCAGGCGGGGGTGGAGGTGGGGAAACCAAAAGGGTACCGATGCCGCTGCTCCCCAAACCTGTCTTGGGGTGCGTGGCGGGGAAACCAACAGGCACCGATGCCGCTACTCCCGAGCCCTCTCCTGGGGTGCCTTTCGGCCCGAGTTCCGAGGCGAATCAGGAGGCGGCGACGAAAGCCTCCCAGGAGTCCCAAAAAGGCGGTGCGCTTTCCTTCCCCAAGGGCAGCTTGCCTCGGTCACCGACGTACCTGGGCTGGCCCGAGCGCAGGCCAGGAGCCAGTCTAGGGCGCGCTCTCGGCCCAAGCGGGGCCCAGACAGGGCGACGGGCGGGGGCTATGGTGAGGGAGTGGAGGAGCAGCCTGGCGTCCTTCCTCGCCCCCCCTGCAGGTGGCAGCCAGACATGCCCAAAGATGCTCGCACCGTGGCAAAAATCACGACGGGAGATTTTTGGCCGCGTGCTGCCTCCAGGCCCCCCCGCAGAGCGCGGGGACCGTCAAGAAACGACTCGGGATGAAAAGCCGGCTCTGGGGAATGCGGAGGGAGGAGGGGAGGACGAGGAGAAGGAGGACGACTCGCGGTCGTCGGGCGCTCCATGGCCTTGAGCCAGCATGGATAAGGACGGTGATGGCATTGGACGGACGGTGATGGCATTGGATAAGGAAACCTTCGATAAGGAATCCAGGGTTCGGAAGCAAGTGGAGAACTTATCGTGGATTGGCCATGGATATCACCGCCGCCCTCATCAGATAAGGACCCCTCCAGGGTCTAACGCACGTTCCTTATCCAACGCCCAAGCCGTATTGAACATATCCCCTTTCAGGGGCCCGGGGAGGCCCAGCCCAAGCTCCGAGGTCCGTCGCGAGCCTCCTGGGGCGCCCCGCATGCTTCCTGTGGCCGGTCGCGCGACTCTTTCAGAGACCACATGGTCGCGAGAGGGACCAAGAGAGCCCCAACAGGCGACCAACACGGTCGGAGATGGTCCCGAGACGGCCCAAGAGCGCTCCAAAGTCGCCCAGGATGGACTGAGGACGGCTCGACAAGAGGGCCCCCAAGAGGCAAGCATGAATGTCCAGGGGTTCGCACGCCAAAGACCGCCCGGGCGGCCCTCGAGATCACCCCAGGACGACCCAAAACACCGCTGAAGACACTCAGGAAGGCCCATGAGGAAAAACCCGGATTGGCATGTCGAGCCCGTCCTCCAAACATGGCCCCCGAGATCGCCGGCAGGGCCCCCAAGAGGCCGCGAGACGCCCCAAAGATGCCCCAAGATGCACCCCAAATGCATCCAAGAGTGTCCCAAGAGCCCCCCAAGAGACCCAACAGACGCATCCAAGATGCCCCCGAGAGGCCCCAAGATACCTCCTAGAGGGGCCCCCCAATCGGGCCAGAAGAAGCCCCTGAGAGACCTCCAAGAAACACTTTGAGAGCTCACCAATAGAAAGCAAAAGGCTTCCCATAGCGTTGTCCACGACCCAGGAAAGGTGGCGGGATCGGACGAATGCCACTATTAATGTTTTTCTTGGCGGCAGGCTGGGAGCCCAGCTCACGCAGGCATAGCCAGCCTGAAGCAATACTGTGATTCGCATGTCCACGTTTCCCTAACCAATCTCGTCATGCTCCTGATCGATTTCCAGATTCGACATCGCGATGGCAATGGAGACATGTAACATTGGTAACGAACATCTCTAAGTCTTGTGGAGAAGGGCCACTGGAACGGTGACACCTGGTAGTAATTCAAGGGGCCCCAGGACACACAAATAAATACACACAAATAAAATGATCCCCTATAGTTTCCCATATTTTCTGGGTTTCTGTCTTCCCGCCCACTTCCCACATTTTCCAATATTTTTGGGGGGATCGACGATTAATTGTGTCTGTGTGCTTCTTTTCCTCCCGAGCAATTTGGAGCCCGCACGCCGCTGCAGCCAGAGATGTACGATTACAAGATGAAGCATGCGTTGACGATGGCTGGCCTGCCAAGCGCGGCCACTGAACCTCGATATGAGACAGACCGTACGGGGTCCCACGAACCGTCGCCTCCGCCTCCTCATGGTCAGCTGCTTGGCCCCAGATTGACACGTGCCGAAGGTCCTGCGCGTCCGTCCCAGCTCGGCACCCGCCAGTCTGCAGTCCGACCCTCACATAGCGGCACGCACAGTGAGGTAGGGGTAGGGGGGGAAGGCTTCTTAGAAAAGGCTGCTTCTTACAAGGCGATGGTTTTACATCTATAAGTAAGGCCCGCGCCTTCTGAGAAACAGGGGTGCTTCTAGCATGCCTTATCCCTTCCCCCTACTACCCTCTGCGCGTTGCCGACTCGTTTCGCTCGCCATCGTGCCGCTTGGGAACGGGAAACAGCGGAGAGCCAATGGGCTGAGCTGCCGACTGCATTGCCGCAAGCAGCGAACGAGCACATGATGAAGTTGCTGGCCATATAAGTTTCTCAAGACACCCATGAAGTTCAGGCCATGAAGATGCTGGCCATGTAAGGATAAACCAGGACACTGGCGTTCCCGAAGAAGCTACAGCCGTGGGTCAAGGCATGCTTCATTCTTCGTTCTCTCGAGGTGGGATGTTCGAAGTCCCGGTCAGCAGTGTCTTAGTTTAGGGGACCCTGCGTTCCAATGATGAGGGGCACACCAAATCATCGCCCGCAACGGAAAGCCGCGACGCTTGATACTCAAAAACATGACTTTGCCCTTTTACGCAGACCCTCTGCTTCGCACAATCCTACAGCAGGTCCCTCCACCCACGATCCCTCATGCTCCTTATCGTACTTCTCCTTCCTCTTCCATTTCGCCTTCTCCCTCTATCCTTTCTCTGACCCTCCATCCGCCTCATCCTCCCTCTTCCCCCCCTCCTTCCTGATATCGTCGCTGTCCTTTTTGCCCTCGTCGTCCTCCTTCTCCTCCCACTCTTCCTCCTCCCCCATTCCCCTCCTCCACCCCATCCTTCCCTGGCTCCCCCTTATATCCGAAGCCCGGCGCGCGCGGTCCAAAGACAAATTGCTGTTCTGCACCGGGTTGATCACCAGTATTCGCAAGCTGACATTGGGTTGTCCCTCGCCAGGCACAGGGGTGGGGGGGCGGAGGGGAGGGGGGCAATCCATAGTCAGGAACAAACATCTTGCACGAGCACTATGCGACAAACACTGCCTGCCAGAGCGGGCTCAACATGTAACTGTTGCAGATCCTTTGTGTCACACAGCGGGAGCCACACGCAGTGTGTGGCTCCCGCTGCTGAAGTCGCAATGGATTGTGTCCCCGTCGGGCCAAGCGGAACAAACGATTCCAGCCAGAACAAGAAACCACCAGGATTCAGATATTACGAGCAATCCACCGATCACATGAAGACTGCACATCCCGTCCCCAATCTCCTTCCTCAAGCACCCCTCCCTGCCGCCCCTCCCCCCTCCTCTCCGAAGCTCTCCTCTCCGTGCCTCCGTGGCTGAACTCGACACGAAGCCCTAGTAGGGATGACGTCTGGAAAGAAACGTACCGGCTCGCCATTCGTGCCACGCATTTCCGCACATTCCTGGACGCCTCACTTGTGAGCTCATGTCCGAGCGACGCCAACGCCACCTCCGAGTTCTCCACGCCTGTGCCTCACATTCCACAGATGCTGAACATGCCCTATGATAAGTTGTCCGCCACTGTGCCGCTGGGCACGGAGTGGGCGTCCTCAGGTCCTTTGCCGAATCCCTTACGCACTCCGGAGGAATCTATCTAGGGGCCTCGAACCCAAATTCTCAAATCTACCGGGGCTTGTCGCGTCCCCCTTGGGACCCGTGGCGGATTGTCGCATGGCTTGTTCGGGCCCACGAGGGTTCGATGACGGGCCAAGAGGGCCCCACAGGGCCCCCAAGACGGTCCAAGAGGGCGCCGAATCGCCGAAATGTATGTCCAAGACGCCCAGGATGAACTCAAGAGGGCCCAAGAGGCCTCAAGACGCCCCAAGAGCTCAAGAGGGCCCCAAGAGGCACAAATCATTGATTTCCCGTAAGTTTTTAATGGATTTGGGAGGTCTGTCCCTTTCGACTTTCCGACGCTCTAAGAGGGCCGGCCCAAAGGCCCCCAAGACAACCAAAAAACGGCCCAAGAGGCCTCCAAGAGGGCCCCAAGAGGGCCTAATAGCGCCCCAAGACAGCCCAAAAGGCGCCCAAAACGGCCCACGAGGGCCCCAAGACGGCCCCAAAGAGACGTAAGAGAGGGAACACGAATCGAAAATCCTAGCCTTCCGCCCCAAGAGGCCCCCAGGAGGCCCCCGGGAGGCTCAGGAGGCGCGCGGGTCACTTTACGACCAGAAGCGCATTTCACAACCATATGGGTCACTTTACAACCAGCTTACAAAATCCGAGAAGGGCACTTTACAACCAGGAAGGGCACTTTACAACCAGGCAAGTGGAAACACATATTGAATGCACGCGGGCCTTTCCCTGAAATCTCCGTGGGCAAGCGCAAGGGTGGCTGCGGGCTCTTTGAGGCATGTTGGTTGTAAAGTTGCCCATCGCGCACGAAGAAGCACTGCGCACGCGTTGGTGATGCGACGACCTGGTGCGCTATGGTACGTTGCGTGCTGGTGGGCGGATTAAGGTGTTGACCTGCTCTCTAAGCTCTGTCGGTCCGTTCTGCCATTGCTTGCTCTGCCTTTCTTTGACGGGCGAAGGCTACTCGCGCAGGACATACGAATAAACCATGCCCCTGTCCAAGACTGGAGCTGCATGGCAGCGGGAAGCTGCAGTGGGAGATGTGGCGGTAGCGGGGGCTACAGTGGGAACTGCATGGTATTGGGAAGCTGCGGTGGCAACTGTGGTGGTCGCCAGGCAGCGGTGGGAACTGTGGTGGTAGCTGGGCTGCAATGGGATATGTGGTGGTAGCGGGGGGTCAGTCAGAATTGTGGAGGTAGCGGGGCTGCAGCGGTAAGTGTGGTGGTAGCAGGGTCGCAATGGAAACTGCAGTCGAAGGGGTTCAATACGAGGCCGCTGGTGAAGACCCCGACCACTGTCTTGAACATGGGGCCACGAGCGTCCAGGCGCTCGGGCTCAGAGGCATCGCTGGGGCCTGCGCAGAGCGTCCAGGTCCTCGGGCTCAGAGGCATCGCTGGGGCCTGCTCAGAGCGTCCAGGCGCTCGGGCTCAGAGGCGTCGCTGGGGCCTGCGCAGAGCGTCCAGGTCCTCGGGCTCAGGGGCGTCGCTGGGGCCTGCGCAGGGCGTCCAGGTCCTCGGGCTCAGAGGCATCGCTGGGGCCTGCGCAGGGCGTTCAGGCGCTCGGGCTCAGAGGCATCGCTGGGACCTGCGCAGGGCGTTCAGGCGCTCGGGCTCAGAGGCATCGCTGGGGCCTGCGCAGGGCGTTCAGGCGCTCGGGCTCAGAGGCATCGCTGGGGCCTGCGCAGAGCATTCAGGCGCTCGGGCTCCAGAGCGCCCACTTGCTCTGGAGCACTTTGCAGAGCGCCCGCGCGCCCTGGAGCACTTTTGAGAGCGCCCACCTGCTCTGGAGCATTCTTCAGAGCGCCCACTTGCTCTGGAGCATTCTTCAGAGCGCCCACTTGCTCTGGAGCACTTTGCGGAACGCCCAAACACGCACGGCCACTCTGAGCTGGTTGTAAAGTGGTCCGTTCTGGTTGTAAAGTGGCCCGTTCTGGTTGTAAAGTGGTCCGTTCTGGTTGTAAAGTGGGCCGTTCTGGTTGCAAAGTGGACGTTCTCGATGAACAACCATAGTTTCCAATCCTTTGTTGGTTGTAAAGTAACCCATCTGGTTGTAAAGTGGTTGTTCTGGTTGTAAAGAGACCGAGGCGCCCAGGAGGCGCCCAAGGGCCCCACGAGGCCCCCAAGAGGCTCCCAAGAGGCTCCCACGAGGCCCCAAGAGGCCCTCAAGAGGCCCAAAAGAAGCCCCAAGAGGCCCCAAAACGCCCCCCCCAAAGAGGCTTCAAAATTGCCTCCAAGAGGCCCCCGAGAGGCCTCCCACGAGATCCCCACGAACATCCAATAGGCTTCATACCCACAACCCAGGCACGGTGGCGGGATGGGCCGAAGGCCATTCGATCCGCCGCCCCCTGTCGATTCATCGAAGGGGTGCCTGGCGTGCCGAACCTCTCGGTTTTGGTTTTGGTTCTTTTTCCAAAAGAACTCCCCCTGGGGCTCCGGCACGTCCCGCCGGCCACCCGGAAACTGCATCAGTCAATGCCTGAAACGGCCGTTTCGCTCGGGACATCCTCAACAAATCGCGAAGATGGCCCAAGATGGCCTCCAAGACCGCCCAAGATGGCCTCCAAGACAGCCTCCAAGACGGCCCAAGAGAGTGCAAGCCGGCCCAAGACGGCCCCCCAGAGGCCTCCCAGACGGCCCCAGAGGCCTCCAAGAGCTCCTCCAGGAAGGCCCGAAGAGGCCGAAATCATTAATTTTTCATAGGTTTTTGAAGGATTTTGGAATTTGCCTCTTCTCGGCATTCCGACGGCTCAAGACGGCCGAAGAGGCCCCCAAGATCGCCCGAGAGGCCCCCAAGAGGGCCCCATGACGGCCCAAGTGGCCTCCAAGACGGCTCCAAGAGGGCCCCAAGAGGGCCCAGGATGCCTTTAAGACGCCCAAGATGGTCTCCAAGACGGCCCTAGAGCATTCCAAGAGGGCCCCAAGTCGGCCCATAGAGGCCCCCCCAACGGCTTCCGACGGCGTCAGACGGACCAGGAGCCCACCAAGACGGCCCAGGAGGCCTTTAAGACGCCCAAGATGGCCTCCAAGACGCCCAAGATGGCCTCCAAGACGGCCCCGAAGTGACCCAAGAGGGCCCCAAGTCGGCCCAGAAAGGCCCCCAAGGCGGCTCCCGACGGCGTCAGACGTGCCAGGAACCCACCAAGATGACCGAAGTTGGCTCGAAGCTGGCCCAGAAGGGCCCAAGAGGCCCCCAAGAGGGCCCCCAGGAAGGCCAGAAGAGGCCAAAAACAGTGATGTTCCCTAGGTATTTGATGGAGTTTGACATTTCATTCTTTTCGACCTTCCGACGGCCCGAGACGGCCCAAGAGCCCCCACAGATCGCCGAAAGATCGCCCAAGAGGCCTCCAAGATGGCCCCAGAACGGCCCAAGAGGGCCCCAAGACGGCCCCAAGAGGCCCCCAAGACGGCACAGGAGGCCTTTAAGACGCCCAAGATGGTCTCCAAGACGGCCCTAGAGCATTCCAAGAGGGCCCCAAGTCGGCCCATAGAGGCCCCCCAAACGGCTTCCGACGGCGTCAGACGGACCAGGAGCCCACCAAGACGGCCGAACATGGCCCTAAGATGGCCCAAGACGGCCCAAGAGGCCTCCAAGAGGGACTCCAGGAAGGCCCGTAAAGGCCAAAATCATTGATTTCCCATTGGTTTTTGAGCGATTATGCATTTGCTTTGTTTCTGCCTTCCGACGGCCCGAGACGGCCCAAGAGGCCCCCAAGATCGCCCAAGAGGCCCAAGACACGGCCCCAAGAGGCACCCAAGACGGCCCAAGAGGTCTCCAAGACGCTCAAGATGGCCTCCAAGACGGTCCAAGAGCCCTCCAAGAAGTCCTCCAAGAAGGCCCGAAAGGGTCAAAATGGCCTCCAGACGGCCAAGATTCACCTTCACGATGCCCACGTGTCCCCCGAAGGCTTTCCAAACCGATTCGGGGAACACATGGTCCGATAGCTTGGCAGGTCTGGCCTCAACGTTCGGCCACATAGGCGCTTCCACAAAGGCAGGGGGCGGCGGTGATTCGCCGTAGGCGTCTTCGATCCGCCGCCCCCTGTCGATTTATCGCCTGGCATGCTAGATCCTCTCGGTTTTGGTTTTGGTTCCTTTCCAAAAGAACTCCCCCGGGGGCTCTGGCCCGTCCCGCCAGCCACCCGGAAAGATGCTCAATCCGGAAAGAATCCTCCAAGATGGCTCAAGATGGTGCCGAGATGGCCACGTTGGCCCAAGATGGCCTCCAAGATGGTCCAAGATGGCCTCCAAGCCCGCCCAAGATGTTCAAAGATAGCCGCCAAGACGGCCCAAGAGAGTCCAAGCCGGCCCAAGACGGCCCAAGAGGCCCCCCAGAGGCCTCCCAGACGGCCCCAGAGG